GATTATACAACTAATGAAAAAATGAAAATTATGCGACTTATTTTATAATCAATTATGCCCTATTCTCATATATTGGATAACATTTGAAGGGATGTAGCGCAGCTTGGTAGCGCGTTTGTTTTGGGTACAAAATGTCCACGGGTTCAAATCCTGTCATCCCTACTTAATAAACGCTCTCCTTTGAAGAGTAAGAGATCATCTAGCGAAATCGCTTCAAAGGAGGCATACTCTAGGGTTGGAGTAGTATTAGAATATTAGTAATACTAGTTTCTAATACAAGTCTAAAAATCTTTGGAATTCTACTTACGAAAAAACTCTATATTCTGATAAAAAAGCGCTCTTAGTTCAGTTTGGTAGAATGTGGGTCTCCAAAACCCAATGTCGTAGGTTCAAATCCTACAGAGCGTGTTTTTTTATTCTCGACTTAATTATTATTAATTAATAAATAATACTTCACTAGATTCCGTCATGTGAACAGCAATCCAAAATTTCATCCTTGGGGATGAAAGGGAAGAGATAAAAAAACGATCTATTCATTAATTATGAATTAAAGTTCTAACTTATCCCCACGCCTGTATTGTAATATGCAGTTATTAATAAACCTGCCAAAGTAATAGGAATTATACCTAATAGGATTCCCAATATAAAAACTTCCATTATTCCATTATTTGTGTTAAATAAAAAAAAAAGTGATATCTATATCAAAATATTCATAGAAATTTACATGAATCTAAATAACCAATATTTTATTATTTTATTTTATTAAAAGCAATTTATAATTAGTGCAACAAGTAACTGAAAGTAACTCTAGACTAAACAGAAAAAGAAGCCCCTAACAGATTTTATATTAATGAAGATATTCTTTAATTTCAATTTTAAATAATTCGTATCTTGCTCAAACCAATAAAAAGAGCTGAGGTTAGAGTGAAAGCTGCCACGAGAAAACCAAAATAACTAGTTATAGTAAGCATGATAGAGGCTACTTTTAATATCTTGTGTTTATAAATGGGACATATGTTTATAAAGCATTTACCGAAGTCTATTTTTTTAGAGAAAAAAGGATCTAAATTTTAAGCTTTGGTTACTGGACCAAAGAATTATTTCATGTTCAAATATTTGAAAATCCATAGGAAAAAGGAAGGGGTATATTAAGATTACATAAAAACAACCGCTTCTCCAACCAACGAAAAAAGGCAGGTTTTTTGATAAATCGCGCCTCTATTTCATTTCATTGAGTCAAGGGCTTTTCTTTTCTATTGAATTCTATTCAATAAAATTGAATAGAACCTTATTTTACGTTTAATAGTGAAAGAGTCAATAAATAAATAAAAAATTGAGCACTTACTTTCAATTTAAAATGCGTTGCTGCGTCAGAAGCAGGATGCTATACTGATTGGGTATACTCTCAAGAAAAGACGCCCTCGGTACAATATTGATAATATAAAAAATAAAAAAGATGCTATTAAGGAATCGGCACTTTTAAAATGTACAAGAATATGCGGAGTTCAATATGTCTGGAAACACAGGAGAACGCTCCTTTGCTGATATTATTACTAGTATTCGATATTGGGTCATTCATAGCATTACTATACCCTCTCTATTCATTGCGGGCTGGTTATTCGTCAGCACCGGTTTAGCTTACGATGTGTTTGGAAGTCCACGGCCAAACGAGTACTTTACAGAGAACCGGCAAGGAATTCCATTAATAACTGGCCGTTTTGATCCTTTGGAACAACTCTATTAATTTCCTAGATCGTTTTCGTAGGAGGTCCCAATGACTATAGATCGAACCTATCCAATTTTTACAGTACGATGGTTAGCTGTTCATGGCCTCGCTGTACCTACTGTCTTTTTTTTGGGCTCAATTTCCGCAATGCAGTTTATTCAACGATAAATTGAATGATCAAATTACTCCGAATTATAGAGCTATGACACAATCAAATCCAAACGAGCAAAACGTTGAATTAAATCGTACCAGTCTGTACTGGGGATTATTACTTATTTTTGTACTTGCTGTTTTATTTTCAAATTATTTCTTCAATTAGGATTAATAAAAGAGAATACCTCAAAGCGATAGGCATTCTCTTAGCCCAATCGGAAGGATCTCATATTATAATTATCCATGACTGTTTATGTCTCTAGCATGACCACGTTATGAAGTGTGAGGGGTAAGTGGGATCAATGACCCATACTACTGGAAGGATTCCTCTTTGGATAATAGGTACTCTAACAGGTATTGTTGTAATAGGTTTAATAGGTATTTTCTTTTATGGTTCATATTCTGGATTGGGTTCATCCCTGTAGTAATCGGATCAATTAAGTTCGAGGTATAAAAGAGTCTTCAGAACTCAACGTGATTTGCTTTTAAATCACGTTGAGTTCTGAAGACTCTTTTATTCACAAAATAAAAAAAGTTTTTTTCTATAAATCTCAGTGATTTATTCAGAAGGCCTGGTCTCTATTACCGTATAGATTGATATTTTCATTTGAGTACTTTAAGTACAAAGAATAAAGTGCTAGGCTGCTATAAAAAATATAGATCTTAAGTTCGATCATTTCATTTTATATATTCTATTATTATATATTATATAATTATAATAATAGAATATATAAAATCTTTTTTCTTCATTTTCAAAATGAGGTATAAAAATACGCCTCAAAACTAGAAACCAATACTCTAAATCTTGAACCAATATTATATATACCTCCTCCCCTTACTTTCTCTTTTTTCCTGTATTGATAAAGTAAAAAGAGGAAGACGCAAAATCTATTCTAATTTACTTTAATTTTTACTTTAATTTGAAATAGAAAACTATGAAATAGAGAGTTATGCCAAAAATCTTCTTTAAAATATAAAAGTAAAAATAGACATACTATGATCTATGACCGGAAATTCCCAGCAGTTTAGTATAAAATTTGGCAAATATAGTATAATAGTATAAAGATATTAAAGGTTTTTGAGAATTTGACTTTAATTTAATTATATATTATGGATAACACTGAATCGTCTATTATGGATAACACTGAATCGTCTCTTTTTAGATTGCTAATGCTACAAGTCTATAAATTCATTTCGGACAATTGAACTTTTTCAAACTGTTTTTTTTTCAGAACCAAAAATATTTGTGCCACAAGAACAGACGCCCAAAAATAACAAAAGTCCTTGGACACGTAATGGATCTTGAAGTACTATTTCCGCGTCTCCCTGACCGAATCCCCCCCACATTAGGATTATTCGTTAATGGTTGATCAAATTTGATATCTTCCCCTTCTGAAACAAGAAGTTCTGGTCCAGGAGGGATAATATAGATCACTTGACGACTATCCAATGGATCCGTTATGGTTAGCTCATAACCCCCTTTTTCTTTTCTTATTATTTTGCTAACTCTACCTGTTGCTGTAGCATTATAAACAGTATTGTTACTCTTGCTACCGTCGGGATAAATTTGGCCTCTTCCCCTGTTTCCACCCACATATATAGGATATTTTAAGAAATGAGCATCTTTATTAGTAGCAGGATCGGGAGATAGAATGGGAAAGGTTATTTTACTATATTTCTGACCAGGAACAGGGCCCACCACAACAATATTTTTTTTCGAGGGTCTATAGCTCTGAAAGACAAATTGCCTATTTTTTCTTTCATCTCGGGAGAAAGCCGATCTGTAGGGGCTAATTCAAAACCATCCGGTAAAATAAGAACAGCCCCCACATTCAACCCCCCTTTTTTACCATTGGAAAGAACTTGTTTAAGTTGCATATCATAAGGAATTTGCACTACTGCTTCAAATACAGTATCTGGAAGTACCGCTTGCGGTACCTCAACCTCCACGGGCTTATTAGCTAAATGGCAATTGGCACATACAATACGGCCAGTTACTTCTCGTGGATTTTCATAACTCTGCTGTGCAAAAATAGGATATGCATTTGAAATGGATGTCAGAGTTATGATATATAACATGATCAATGCGGAAATCAATCGAGTAATCTGTTTATTTATCCAAAGAAAATGATTTCGAGTTTGCATAGTCGAATCGTTGATTGCAAAATTGATACAATAAAATGGGGTAGGTCACTAGTATAGTTTGCTACCCAGGATTCTGCTATTTGATGGAATAAAATATAAAAAAAAATAGTTCTATAAAATAAGTAATGAAGTAATATTTTTAATGCTTCGCTTATTTACAATAGAAAAACAGAAAAAAATTAATCTTCAAATTGAATTATGAATCCCATAGAGTCTTCAATCATTCATTCAATGAATGATAAAGAACTACAAGTGACGGAGAAACACGATTTAAATAACGGAAAACCCAATATTTAAAAATTGTATCTAGAATGACTGGAAAGGTGCAAACAAGACCAGAGATAATTAAATCATTATCACAAAATCCCAAATCTTTAGAAATAAAGGTAATTATAAATTCCCAACCGCGGGGTGAATGGAATCCGATACATAAATCAGTTAATAAGAGAATGCAAAATACTTTGATTGTGTCGCTTAAGTTATATAAGAATTCCCGAGCCCAAGAGTTCAGAAGACTTAGGTTTTCATTACGCAAAATAGCAGAAACACTTAGAATAAAAAAACAGATTAGAATTTGTCGCTAAACGAAAAATAAGATGGATATCACTATATTTTTGTATCTTTATTAATTGGAATTGCTTGTTTATGGATTCCTATAATAAATTCTTGTGGGTGTGTCTCCACGTCTTTTTTAACTATTTCGTCCAATAATAGAAATTCCTCGAATTCAATAAATTTTTCCAGAAGACTCTTTTCATTAATATTATTGAAGAAACTTTCGGATTGCCTAGTAGTCCACCAATTAGTAATCCAAGATCCCAGACATTTATTCAATAAGAAATAAATCCACCAGGGCAAAAAGACTACAAATGCAAGATATAAAAGAGGAGTGAATACTTTATTTTTATTTTTCATGAACCCACCATATATGAGTTTTTACTTTTACAAGGTATAAGGTATATTAAAGTATGTATTGATTTTTGTTGTGATTTTTTGGCCAGTCTTTGAATCTAGAAAGAATACAGATGAAATTCAGATATCCGATACAAATCTTTCAATTAAAATAAAAAGAAAAAAATTACTGAATGTTTAGATATTTAAATATTTAGAATGAAATAGTAAGCAATAGAATACTTAAACTTCCTAGGGGATTTGCTTGTGCTAATAAAAAACTGCCTGGTCAATTGGCTAATTAGTATTCCTGAGTCTTAGTAAAAAATGCAATTGGAAAAATAAATAGAAAATATATAAAAATAGAAAAAAAGTAACTGAAAAGAGGTGTAGCCCCCCTTCTCAAAATACTTCAATCGGTACACGCAAAAAAATAGGCCAATTCTGAAGCTTTTTTTTCAATTTCTCCCGGGGTGAAATTCTCATTAGTACGAGTCAAAGGAATAGCCCTCTGGCCTCGGATGTCCATATAAAGGACACGACGAGCATAAATACCTTCTTTCACTTCTATTCGAATAGACCTTATATCTTTTATATTGAATCGGAGGAAAATGCGCCGATTTATTCCAGGGAATCCCCAACGAAAAATACAAAAAATTCCCCTTTTTCTATCGAATTGATCATAACCACTACCAACATTCCATAAAATAGTACACCACAAATACGAGCTAATAAAAAGACCCGCAATTCCGTAGAATGACATGACTATTCCTTGTGGGAAAAAAAGAATTTGCTGGGCTGAAAAAAAGGATATCCAATTTATACCAAGATAACTGGAAGTTCCTACTAATAAGAATCCCAATGAACCTAAAAAAAGAGTAAAAGCCCAACCTAAATTACTTATTTTTCTAGACCCAGGTCTAAGTTCGATCCATATATGTTTTGATTGCCAACTCATATTACATCCGATTTTATTTTATTTTATTGGAATTAAGAAAAAAACCATTAATTAGGAACTTTGCTATTTCAAAAGTAATTCTCATCAAACGAATATTTGTTTGATGAGAATCTAGCACTAGTTTGATGTAAACCTTTAGGGGTAATTCATAAACTTGGTTAGATAGAAAAAAATAACGCCTTAAGTCAATATGATTCCACAGATCTTCCTGTTATGATACAAAAAAAAGCAACTTACAAAAAAGGGAGGGATCTCAATATATAAAATATCTAAAAATTTTTATTTTTCTTGAACAGTAATAAATAAATAAAACGTTGCAATTGCCGGCAATACTAAGCCTACTAATGGTATAAAAAGAGACGGAAAGTCACTCATAGAAAAGGTATTTTTTTTTACTATATTTATTTGTATCTGTGAGTTTTTATCTAACTATTTATATCAATCTAAAATCAATATAATTATTTTCTTTCACTCAAAGTTCAAATGAATTTGAACTTTGAATGAAAGAAAGTGCCCCGGTCATGAAACGTAAATAACTCACTAATAACGCTTTTTAGAAGATGACGTGGTACAATTAAGTCAAATGAACCTTCTCAAATAAAAATTCAGCTTCTTGTGCCTCGTCAGGTATGGTTTGATTTAATGTTTGTTCAATTACTCTTTTGCCTGCAAATGCAATGTAAGCATTAGGTTCAACAATGATAATATCCCCTAACATACCGAAACTCGCTGTTACTCCACCAGCTGTAGGAGATGTAAGGATTGATATATAAAATAATCTTTTCTTCGATTGATAATTGTATAAAGCAGATGATATTTTAGCCATTTGCATCAAACTTAAACTTCCTTCTTGCATTCGCGCACCCCCGGACGCCGACACTATAATCAGAGGCAAAAAATTTTTCTGTAGCGTACTCAATTAAACGGGTTATTTTCTCTCCGACTACGGATCCCATACTACCCCCCCATAAACTTAAAATCCATAACCCCTATTGCTACAGTAATACCGTTGACTTGGCCTAGACCTGTTTGAACAGCTTCGGTTAAGCCTGTTTCTATTTGATAAAAATCAAGATCCTCTTCATAAGAGTTTTCATAATTAGAAAATACTTGATAAAAGTATTTAGAAGGGTCTTTATAAGGGTATTCCGACGATTCTTCAGAAGAGTCTTCTGAAAAGTCTCATAAGGGTATTCCAACGATTCTTCAGAAGAGTCTTCTGAAAAGTCTTCATAAGGGTATTCCGATGATTCTTCAGAAGAGTCTTCATCAAATTGAATGGGGTCCCGAGAAAGAATGTCTTCATCGAAAGGAGCCCACGTTTTCTCATCGATCAAAAAATCAATTCTATCTGAACTACTCAGTTGCAAATAATCTCCACATTCTT